TTGAAGTGATTTTTGATGGGAAATAATTTACATTGAAACAGATTGCTTTTTGAAGAGGCTGTTTTACTTCTAAAGCAGCTGGCATTTCAAGACTCTCTTTCTTTGCTTAGGAGACTGGTTTTCGTGGGTTAAACTCTGTCAGTTTAAACAAAGTGACTGATCATTTAAGGTTTCCGTCTAGGGTTTTGGAAATTGTAACAGTCTCTTCATCATTGATGTTCAACAGGTGTTCAGAAAACTGCATCTATATTTGGATACATGCCATTTCTATTAAGTAGCGGCCTCTTTTTCTCCACTCTAGTGACCTAAATAGTTCCCACAAATAGAGTAGTTGTCGCTACAGAAAATATGCTCAATCCAGGCCTGCAGATACACTGTGAATGAATTCAACAAAGCAAATGTACTCTGTTAAAATATATTTCTAGATAGTCAATTGAATGTGAAGGATGACTGAGGAAAATAATTTTAAATTGCTTTATTTTGTGCTTATTAATAAGCTGAAAATAGTACTAAATATGTTACCTCAGACACTCAAAATGAACCATAGAAATATTACAGTAATTGGTACCTTGAAACATGATAGACAATACATTTAAGGTCTCAGTAATACTAACCAGTTCAGTATATGAGACAATGAAGTATTACAACCACCTGGTACAAGAGAGGGAGGTGGACCTTTTGAAATCTGCAGATAAAGGATAAGAAGGTAGCATTGTTATAATTTTAATAGTCTCAGGCATTAGCAGTGTCATGTTCATAGCATCCCGGGTAGTTCCTTCTGTCTGTCTTTGCTGTGAGAGCTTTATTGTGCCACGTGTGATGAGGGAGCCCCTGATGATGCTGTGCCAACCTGAATGTACTGTGGCCCTCTCTCTGTTCTCACAGCCTGGATAATGTGCAAGCCTGAGGCAAGAGAACAGACCCCCAGGAACATGAATCAATTTTTTTTTCCAGTTTACTGCTTCATTATATTACTTCTCACTCTTCTTTCTGTTTCACCATTTGAGGGGAGCTTTGTGGAATAGCTAAGGATAGTTTTAAGATGGATTTTGAGAGTTGACTCCTGGTGACTGCATCCAAATGAACCTCTTCTCAGGAGGCATTGGTGCACCATGTGCAACACTAGGTGAGGAAGGAGTCACCTAATCAGGAAGTCACTTGTCTTGAGACCTTCCCTGACCTAAATGACTTTGCCTTTTGGCAGAAGGCACAAAAGTGGACCTGTGAGGTTTGGCGAAAATCAGGGTGGACAGGAAGCTTGGTGAGACACCAGAGATCTGAGTTTGGTTTCAAAGTGGCACTAAGAGGAAGAGATGGAGCTTCTGGGAGGAAAGCCCCAAACCAAAGGGCAGCTGTCCTCTACACTGCACTGGAGCTGGGGAGCACAAGTGCTGGCCCAGGGTGCTGACCATCCTGGAATCTGCCCGCATCCATGGTTATCTTTTCTCTGAGGCTGGTCAGTGCCTGGGTTGTTTGCTTCTAACCAGTGGGCACTGGAAGTTCATACTTGGCTCTGGGGTACACATGTCTGTGTAGTCAGATTCTTACCCACTTGGCTTCCCGCACATTCCAAGAGGTTACTGGTAACATAGAACCAGCACTGACATGGAGGGAAACCTCTCTCATTGTAAAGCCATTCAGCAAGGCCTTTGGTGTACATTCCACACCTTTAATGAAACCTTACTCTTCCTTTTGTCCCATAACTGGGAAGAATTAAGAGCCCCACCAACACATGGGGAGCCAGGACGTTCATCAAGAGTGAGGAAATGAAGTGCGTGCCGTGTTCTAATAAGAAGGTCTCCTAAAAGGGGTGGATGAAGAGCCTGAGTGTCAAGAGCCTCTGTTCACTTCTGCCTGGAAGGTCACCTCAAGGGGCCCAAGTATGAGGAGGAGGACAGACAGGAGAGTCTTGGTGGACTTGGCTCAGGTGGCTCACAAAGCTGGCCCAGAACTTCAGGAGATGCTTGTCCAAGTCTCTTTGGGTTAGAAGCAGAACAGCTTCTACTATGTCATTGGCAGTTTTGTTTCTCAGAAGGCAGAGGATGCAACGGGAGGAACTGTTGGTGCTCTGCCTCTGACCTGCAAGGAAGAACTGGCCGGAGAAGGGATGGCCCAGGGAAAGGGGCCACATCATCATAGACTCTTTAGCAATCAAGGAAGGCAGGATATTGGACTCCGCCAGGCGTATATCCAAAACCGGAGGAAAACAGATTTCAGAGATTCCCTCAGAAAACCCCTGGGCCCAGGTATAGTAAAGGAAGACATTTCCACTGAGAGGATGTGAGGTTCGCCAAAAATCAATTCAAACCGCACAAATGCAACTTCTGATATTTAAGAGCTCCACTTTCTCTCTTCCTCCTACACCCTGGCCTGTTCTCTCAAAAAAAAAAATTATTCTAATGAGAAAAAAAGAAGGAATTCATTCAAGAAACTGTATAGGCTTTAAAAGAGCAAAGACAAAGGCACTTAGGCAAGAAAAAAAAATAGAAGGCATGTAGATCTGAAAGGGAGAAGTAAAACCACCTCTAGTCACAGAAGACATGAAAATCTATATAGAAAATATATAGATTTATAGAAATCTATATATTTATATAGAAAATCCTAAGGATTTAGGAAAATCTTGAAAAAAAATTCATAAAACTAACAAGTTCAGCGAAGTGTCAGGGTATAAGATTAATATGCAGAATTGTTAATATTTCTATACACCAGCAATGAGCAATCTGAAAATGAAATTAAAACAATTCCATCTAAGAGAATAAATGCAATAAAAGTAATGTAAAACTTATGCACTGAAGACTATAAAACTTTGCTGAAAGAAATTAATTAAAGAAAACCTTAAAAGAAAAAAAAAGAAAGACATTCTGTGTTCATGGGCTGGAAGACTTAATATTTTTAGAATGGCAATACTACTCAAAATGATCTGCAGATTCACTGCAATCTCTAGCAAAATCCTGGTTGCCTTCTTTACAGAAACTGACAGGCTGATCCTAAAATTCACATGGAGATGTGAGGAATCCAAAATAGCCAAAACGATCTTGAAAAAGAAAAAACAAGCCCCAAATTGGAGTTCTCATACGTCTGATTTCAAAAATTATTACAAAGCTACAGTAAACAAGATAGCATGATACCAGCTTAAAGACAGACAAGTAGATCAATTGAATAGAATTGAGAGTCCAGAAATAAGCCCATACGTCTATGATAAATTTGTTTTTACAAGGGTTCCAAGACAATTCAATGGGAGAAAAATATTCTTTTTAACAAATGATGGAAGGACAACTGGATAGCCATATTGCAGAAGAAATAGTGACTTTGAATGGGTACAGGGTTTCTTTTTGGGTGATGAAAATGTTCTGAAATTAGTGGTGTTAGTTGCACAACTTTGTGACTATATTAAAAACCACAGAATTGTGCCCTAATAAAAGGGCAAATTTTGTGGCATATGAATTGTATCTCAATAAAAAATGTAACACAATTCAGCCTTTCAATATTAAGCATCCTATGATTTAATTTCCATAATTCTGCAGTTAGTGCCAGTCAAGTAATTTCTGCACCTGTGTGCAATAATTCAAAATAAAAACGGATACCAGAAAGAAAACAAATGAAGAAAAGTGGAAATAGGCTAAAAGAACACAAGGACAAAAGGAACTAATGAGTAGGCATGAGACAAAAGGAAGTACAAACAGCCCTGACACAATCTCTATTGGTTTCTCCCTGTATGTTCTAGTCACTGTATAAACATGTTCATTCTTCATAGCACTCCAGTTAGTAAAATCGAGGTATGTTGTTTTCCTATAAAATGC